ATGGCGGTCGAGATCTTATTCCACTGAAGCTCAGTGTCATTAGGACAAGACAGTGGAAGTTCGGTATGCAGTGCTCTTGATAGGCTTGCTTGACCGAGGACTGAGACAATTTCTCCGTTGCCAATCGTAGGGGACGCTTAGTACGCCTCCCGGTAAAGTTCATGGAGAAACGACAGTGTACAAAGGCATGATCAGAGTCGACACAGGTACTCCAGTACGAGCGGCAATCCAGGATGGAACCACGCCATCTGTAACTTATGGCTATGTGGTCAATTTGGGTCCATCGCTGACCAGATACTGGAGGACGCCAAGTGGCACTTCGGCACCCACTGTGTCTAAAAGCGGTGCTGCAAGAAAGAACTGGTGCTCCGCACACGGTTGTCAGTCCGTTCGGAGTCAAGCCCACAATTACCACCCATCTGAGCTTCTGAAGAGCTCAGACGCCCTACTTGTGCGTTCATATCCCCTGCATGTACTATAATATCTGAACTAGTAGCACTGCGTAGTAGCGCGTTCAGTTCGTCATAGAACGTGTCCTTGACAACATCTGAACTGCAGTCGGTGGGATCATAAACAGAAATCACAAACAAACTGCGTTTTGTACTACTTTGGGAATCAATCTTAGAAGACTTCGTCAAACGGGCTGCACATAAACGGCTGTTCACCGGAATCCAATCAACCAACGATGGCACAACCTTAGAGCTTAGAATGATACCTACACCAGCTTGACCAGAGTGCTGCATCGGCGTCTCCGGATGCGTGCAACCAATAACAAGAGGATAAGCCAGGTGCAGTTAATTCAATAACCCCGTTAGGGTCATTAATCCTAGTTTCGGACACACAACACACATCAATACCCAGTGTGTCCAAGATGCGTGCGAGTGCAGCCTGTTGACCTGTTTTTCTTGGAGTGCGAACGTTTAATGTCGCCATGAAAACGGGATAGCGTAGCCTTATAAGGGACTTTTGCCGATAGGCGTCCGATAGGTGCGGTGGGTTGGTGGCTGCAGATGGTTCTACTCCAGTGGCACTTCGGTTGTTGTCATTTAAGCTGAGAATTATAGAAGGAAGGTTAGTAGTGGGGATCGAGATGGTAGTAAGAGAAAAAGGTGGAAAAGAAAGGAGGGAGGCGCCAGCAGTAGCATGTTTTCGCTTATCCGCCCTGCTATATGCAGCAGATATGGGGATTCTTGACAATCTGCGGGACAGCCGATGCAGGATGAAGTTTATGTTTGAAGAAAATGTCATGGTTGTATGTAGGCTGAGATACTGCCAGGGCGTCCAGACCTAGACAGGAGGACGAATAGGGTCCTCATCCAAAGCGTTTGGCTCAAAAGCCTGTCCGCAAGGCAGCGGGGAGGTGGTAATGATTTAGTTTTACGGAAATGGACGCCATCCCATTTCAAACCCCCAACCTGGAGGACCAGGAGACTGAGTTTGTCTGAGCTCACACCATTGACCAACCTCGTAGGAGTAGCTGTCAAGGTGCCCAGAGGCATCACCCATTATCATCATCATCATCACCATTACAGGTTAGCTGGAGGTGGAAAACACCTCAGCTATTGTGCCGCAATACAAAAGACAAGAAAAGGAAAACAGTCAGTGGCACGTTCGCTGAGTCCCCAGTAACGGACGGACATCGTTCCGGAGAGCTAACAGCTGGCTGCCGTGAAAGAGTCATATTATGCCTAACAATTGAGATCATGATTAGAGGGCGATGGACAAAGGAACTCACAACACAAACGCCATTGGGGCCGGCTCCTAGCCATATCAGCAAGTGTGTCAAATCAAACGTGATCATCCTCCTTAGGACCCCAGCCTAGCCGTCCGGATGCACTAAGTGACGCCAGTTGGGAAGTGAGGGTTTTCATTTCTCTCGACCAAGTCATCACTTGGCCTTCCCTCCTCCTCTTCCAACCGCACCCACAACGCACAAACGATGTACATCGCGGGAGTCGGTGTACTGGCATGCGCAACACGTGGCCCAACCATCGGAGCCTGGTGTGTGATATAATGGTGCTGAACGGTTCACCCGCTCTTCCTGCACCAAATATGCGACGTCGAACACGCTCATTGCTCACGCGGTGCTCCCACCAGACATGAGCTAAGCTGCGAAGGCAGCGATGATCGGATATGACGAGCCTCTTTATGTCTGTCGACCTGATGGGCCAGGTTTCACAGACATATAGGAGAGTTAAACGGACGGCTGTGTTGTAAACTCTGCCCTTCAGGGTGAGAGTAGTGTCGCGTCTGCGCCACAGGTGGCGGAGATTGGCAAAAGCACCTCGAGCTTTTGCTATACGGTTCGTAACCTCATCTTCATCACCCAGTATAGCTCAATGGGTCAATGAGTTATGCAAACCGTCGCACCACGTTAAGCTCCAGTCTCGTTGTGGCGGTTTGGTCAGTTAAAAGAAACTGTATAATAAATAATGAAAGGAAAAGGAACGGACAAACGCTACTAGCCTTCACCTTCGACCATCTCATACCCGGTGCATGATACAACACTTGGTATTTGACCCTTGCTGTTTTAGTTTTCGTAGTGTATAAGGTTTGGCATCACAGCTTTTGTATTGCAGCACATTGGCTGTGGAGTGTTTCTCAGTCGCAGCTGGCGGGTATTGATGATGATGGTGATGGGTGGGTTTAGCAGTACCAGTCATGTTTTCATGTGCAACTGACAACATTAGATGCATCTATTTTTCATACACCTCTTCATCCCTTAGCTGGAGTGCATCGCCTAGAACGAAAATATACAATTTATTTGTTTGCATACCGGTTTCACTTTGACGCACAACGACAATCGGACACTTGACCGTGTGCTATTATATGATGCACGAGCATATGCCCAAAATGGTTCAAATACTTAGCCTCAGATTATTCCAACTTCCCGTACATACTTTAGTACCAATGACTTCGCTGCAACTAGCGGTGCTACTCTCTCACGTTGCGCGCAGGAGTACAGTAAGCGTCCGGTCGGGGCTTCTTGACTCCATATTATCCTATCACGCCAGACATGCCGCTGTTGACCGGTGAGGTGGGCAGGCTAGATAACATCTTTACAAATTATGTTCCAAGGACGATATATGTTTCTGCCTAACGAGCATTCTATTTCTTACGCGATAAGTGAAACAAGTCATCCAACACTGCTTCGGGCAACAGTGCAAGAACCGATAAAACCAAGCTCCGAAGAAAATACACAGTATCTCACAGGTTCGAAGTCTAATGAAATTATCCGGGAAAAAGCTCTGCTCCATTGAAGCCTACTACCGTATCGCTTTTCACTGTCGCAAGACACGATTTGCAAGGATTATAGCTCTGATATCCAGCCTAAGCCTTTCTGAAGTTAAGATCATTTCCTTCCAGGTGATCTAACGCAACTGCCACAAAGCAATGCCCAGTTCGGCTTGACTGGTATTTGAAGTTGCGCCATCTCAGGTAAGGGAGTCCTTCAGTGAGCGCACTTCTTGAGAAGCCAACAAGCAAGTGTTCATGAATTTAGTAGTTGATAGAATTCATGAACATTTAGTTAGGTCATTCACTCACCTTAAAGTTGAACAATTATGATCCGAGAACCGAAGTGCGGTGAACCCAGTTGCAACAACTCACATCGCAAGAATAAAGATAAATGACAACGGCAAGATGAACTATTTATTTCGGCCCCATATTTTAGCAACTGGGTGCTCTATACAAGCGTTACCAGAGGATGTTTACTTTTTGATTTGAGAAGCGACTGGACAGTGACTCGAGCAGCTGTATCGGTTATCCGTATCGACAGCGGAAACACAAATATCTCCGGACAAACGCAATGAAATGGTGCCGCCATTGTCCCATGTGCAGGACCACAGGGTAAGCGCAGAGCTCGAATCTCGAAAGCCGGTGTCCAATAAGCAGTAGATATCGATTGATAGGGTCGCTAGGGTGCGGGCAAGTGCTGCCTGTTAGCCAAGCTGCAACAAAGTGCGTACGTTGATGCATGGCATTCTTAGCAAGGATCGAAGGCCCTAAGTAGAAACAGATGGATTAACGCTGTCCGCTTGATTGAACATGACTTGCACTTGTCGATTGGAATGTAGAGACGTTCAGCGATTACGTGTGAGTGGGAAATAGAGGACAAGTGATTACTGAAGCAAGGTAGGGAAGACAAGGAATTTGGAGTTGAAAACAGTGGGAAAAAGTGAAGTTGAGATAGGACGAGTAGGATGTAAAAACGCAAGAGGAGGAATAAGTAGACAGGAAAGCCTGAGCAGTAGCATCCTCACATTTATCCACCCTGCTCGATGCTGCATATAAAACACCGTTGGTTATTTGCTGTAACAGCCAGGTTATCAGGAAATTGTTTGAAGAGTTGTTATATTATATTGCATAGGTAAAATAGTGTTTTCCTAGGTCTAGACAGGACAACAATTAGAGTCCTCAACCAATGCCCTTGGTTGAAAGACATGGCCGTAAGGCAGCGCGGATTTGGCACTTGACTACCGAGAGTTTGTAAGATGAAGTAAGGAGCCACTCCCACTACAACCCTCATCCTGGAAGTCAAAGAGACTGAGTCTGTCAGGCCATTAACCATCGGCCAATTTGCTAGGAACGGCTTCGAAGGTGCAAAAGCACCGCCCAGCATAGCTCAATGGATAATGAAGGCACGCAAAACCCATCGCACAAAGTTAAGGTCCAGTCCAGTCGCGACTGGCTAAATAACCTGCTTGATCACAACTGCGTTGTAACAACTACAACAATATATGTTTCATGACCCCAGACGATAATGTCTTTGGGTAATACTGAACGGTTCCGTGTCCTACAGAGATGCACCAATTAACAAAATGGCCAGGAAGCAGTGGAATAACATAGGCAACTGCCACCCGGTTAATTTCCGAGTGTCCTATTTCAGTCCGAAAAATGTTCCGTCGTGACATTTTTCGGACGGAAATTGGTCATCAGATTGTAATTCGACGGAAACTGGTCACTCGGCTGACATGTTACAAACGAAAAAATGCACTCACCTGGTTCAAAGTGGACCGGTAAAGTTTGAAGGTAACATGGAAGCGAATCATACGTGTAATCACTAATTTTTCCTGGGCAACCAGTACAGCGATCTAGCGATTCATCATGAAAAACGGCAACCTGCAGGTCCTTGGTAAGCCGACAGTCTAGTTCAAGCATTTGCGTCCGACATGCAATACCACTAAATTTTTGGAAAGGCGGATAGCCGAAGCAATTACTGTCGGAAAGCATCCATAGAATTTTCGATACACTCCCCAGCGCCCCCGCGGTGACATATATGTTGTGCTTTGAAGGGGAAGTGCTTTACGGCGTGCAATAAATAGGGTTTCTTCAGTAACACAAAGGAGAATACGGCGTAGGTCGCAGCAATCGAGGCAAAAATTGGGACCATCACGGGGCTACCAATGTAATATGCGTTCGGCCGAGGATTCTGAGGTACCCCGTACCTTGTAATAGACTTGGGGTGGCTGCAATACACAAAAATACTTTGTAGACGGTTGCATGAAATTATCACAATCGTTGTCACAGCTGCCGAAAGGGATGAAGTCAGAACTGAATGAATGTTGAGAACAAGCTCGCAAATGGCTCTGAACCACAAGGTCACGCTCGGACTCGCTACACTATCGACCATGTTGACAAGGCGCTGTCATTGGCGCCTACGTACCCACATAAAACGATGGAACAAAAAATGTCCGCTGGGGCGTAAGCAGTGGCCGGTTTTTATATTCCCCGTGGCCCCAGTGAGACATTTGGGATAAATTTTGGTCATTCCGAGAAAAATTGCTCAGTACAGAATTAAAATTTACCGTGATTACATATTTCCTGGTTGCAAATACCGCAAAAAGACTGGAGCTTAGCGCAGTGCGATTGGTTGTGTACCCCCGTGTCCCACTGAGCTACGCTGGATGACAATTTTCTATTGCTTCCAGAGCCACTCACACCAGACAGGTCAATGGTTAAGAGTCAAACTAACAAAGTCTCACAATCTAATCGTCTTCAAAAGTTAGGAGGTCAATGACCATTGTCCTGTAAAACCTAGCCATGGGAGACAACAGGTGAACGGGTTATAAGCTCGTAGCTGTATTGGCGTAGAGCACAAGCGCCACGCATTATCTCTGATGGTGGGGCGGCACCTTCCGGTTCTCAAAGGTTTGCTACTGCCCGCCTCAGGCCAAGCAGCCCATGGTCAAATTGGTGCAAACACGCTAAGTCCAACTTGCGACCGCCTGTGGTCACAAGTGTGTATCATAATACGGTTATAAAACACGTGTGCACCGGACTAAATCTTCAAAAGCTGTGTGTCACCTGACTCAAGCTGGCCCCAATTGGTCTTCGCAATCACACTCCCGAGCTGGACCTGCTTTTCACTGTCTTGTCGGTCAGTTAATAAGCCAAAGGCTCTGGGTGGGGTCCCCCAAGCGAACCTCTATGTACCCCACCGCCTTGTTGATCAGACCGTTTAGGCAAAAACTGGAGGCAGGGCACCTCGAACAAAACCCCTCTCGAAATGGGTAGCCGAAGAGTATCAGCTGCTCTCTAGACCACGTCGACAATACTCTTCTTCCTCTTCTATCCCGTCCCTTGTTCCCCGTCTATTGAGCAACAGGCTGCCGCTGATCTCACAGCTGCTGCCATCGATACATGTAGCTCTTCAATCAAGTCTAAAGTTTCATTTCACATGGGCTCTTTAAAAGTTCGTACTCTAGCTTATATCGGTCAACAGGCAGATTCTCACGTTTTACTCTCATAGTACTGATGTGTGCTGTGTCTTCAAAACACGCAGACAAGATAACAGCGTCGGGACAAACCTCCGACTCCCTGGTTCTTATTCAGATGACGATTGTTACGCTTTTCACCCCTCCAGTGATATCGGGTTAATAGCTCAAGGTGTTTATGGTGCTTGTATAAGGACCAGAGTTCGAAGCTGGCCTCGGTTGGAGCTACTCGACTCCTTGGTTGGGGTCCGGAAGACGATGAACACGCTTGGCTGGATACACTTGCGGACATAACTATGAGCCGACCTCAATGGCGTTCGTGCAGTGAGTTTCCTTGTCCCTCTCCATTCTTACCCATTCAACCACGAGCACATTTCTTAGCATAATATAATTTTGCTTATGACGTTAGAAGGTTTTGAATATAAATCGGTTTTGTAGGATTTTATCATGGCGAGGTTTCGCTCTAGAGTCAAGACCAGGTGAATCGGTACACAATTGGCTTAGCTATTTATGGGAAAGTAAGGTAAAGATTGCAAGAAATAACGTAAACCATTGGACAATAGTGTTACAGATCAATAGGTCAAGTGGCCATCCAAGTGAAACAACAAGCATCGAGCGTTTATCATTGGTGCAAGTCACCGGCCGTTCACATGTGAGGCATTCCTTTCCTGCAGCTGGTGATGCACGCTCTGACCTGAGTTCGCCCGCCGACACCTTTTCGGACTGAGCGGGCTAACACAACCCGCCACGCGTTCGATAACTCATAGTAGCCGGCTGGTAACTTTCCGGAACGATGCCCATCCATTACTGGTGGCTCAGCTAGCATGCATCTGTTGCACGTTATTTTTCTTTTTCTTTTCTTCTAAGTATTCCGGAACGAACAATTTCCCGATGTATGGCAATCCCAGAGGATAATCAACGGTGCCCTATCTGCCGCATCGAGCAGGGTGGATAGGGGTTTGGATGCTACAGCTCAGACCTTCCCGTCTTCTTATTCCTCCTCTTAAGCTCTTCACCCCTATCGTCCGAGTACAACTTCACTTTCATCCCCCAGGTTTTCAATCCCCAAATCTTCGTCGTCACACGCCACGCTCTGATAGGCGTTTATCTTCTAGGTTCAACCAAAAGTGACCTACGCAACATAAAGCGGTGACTTAAGCAATGTGTATAATTCACCTAATTCATCATGACAGCCGGCTGTCACCCATTGCGAAGTGACACTAGCGGCTGGCATCCTGAAGTCATGGAGGCGGAATCCGGCAGTTCCGCAGGGAGGCGTACCACTGACGAGACTCAGAAGGTCGAAACGCCGGCGTCTGATGCTTTTCCAGACCAGCCTAAGACTGCTGATTGGGAGTGGCGATGATGAATTAGCTGAATTGTACCAAAATGCTCGCTACTCATCAGTAAGGTGGACAATTTCCGACCAATTTGAGTCACCACTGTTTTGGTGAACGTGCTCGAGATTGCAAAAAAAGATCTCCTCAAGCTGCTGGAGTCGAAAGATATTCTGACGCCGGCACAGCACGGCTTCATGAAAAGTTCGTGCACCACCCAACTGCTGTTGACGCTGAAGGAATGGTTGCATGTGTTGAACCGAGAGAAATCAGTGGATCTTATCTACATTGATTTCATTAAAGCTTTATGGAGAAACCGGTGGAGAATACCCAGTCAGTCAGGTTTACCTCACATATAAAATATCCTGATGCGCCTTAGCGTCGAACGACCGTAGATCGCGAAGTATGCCGTAGTGTATGTACACGTCGATTCCAATCGCGAATCGAGCAAGCAGCGATGCGCACAATCCCAACAAGCCAGTGGCAACCAAGGAAGAACCACGGAAGAGGAGCTCGAACCCAATCCTTATATATATATATATATATATATATATATATATAGTTAATAAAACAAAGTTGTACAACGACTGCAGCGAAATAGGTGTGTGAAAATAAAAAATAAGCAAATAATTTACAATCGCAACAGTACTACCCCCTAGAGCGTGCACTAAGGAAACGCTCGTCAAGGTGCCTACGGAACGTACTGAGAAAGCTTATGTGGAAGGGAAACAACACGACCAGAACGTGTGTGTGGAGCTGCGTGTAGTCGGAGGACAAAGAAGACTCGGTGTACTGGGGTCAGTGTGTTGTTTTGTAGGTGGTAATGAGTCAGGGGCGGGAGTATGCTGAGGGGAGGAAATGGGGTCTGTATTATCTACTGTAGGTTCAACGTAAGCTGGTTTGAGTCGGTCGATGGTCACAGATTCTTTTGATCCATTCCTATTCAACATGAAATACTTAGGTTTCCATGATAAGACCTGGTACGGGCCTTCATAGGGCGGAGTTAAAGGTTTTTGAACAGCGTCGACGCGGATGAAAACAAACGGACAGTTGTGCAAATCGGGTTGGATTTGCTGTTTACGTATGTTATGTCGCGTAGGCGTTAGTAGAATGGATCGAAACTGGTGTTTGAGGCGTTTAACGTACAACGAGGAGTCTATTTCTCCGGTACCATCTCACCAGGTAGTCTGAGGGTCGTGCCGAACACGAGTTCTGCAGAGCAGCACCCAATGTCCTCTGATTGTATTGCGAATGCCAAGGAGAATCGCAGTGAAACGCTCAGACTAGCGTGAATCCGATGAAATAGCCATGATGGCAGCATTTAATTGTCAATGAAAGCGCTCGACGAGGCCATTGGCAGCGCGGTGGTACGCGGTTGTACAGCCTAATAAACGACTCAGATCACATAACAGTGTGGAACTGAACTAAGTCCCTCTGTCGGTAGTGATGGTGCACAGAACACCAAACAGAAAAATCCAAGATTAGACAAAAGCAAGGGAAACAGACACGGTGGATGTATCACGTAAATAAACAGTTTGTGGCCAACGGGTAAAGCGGTCAATACATGTTAGAATATGAGTAAAACCGTTGTAAGAAGGTAAAGGGCCAACAATATCTACCTGAACGTGTCTAAAACGTGCGTCAGGGAGCGAAAAGGTACCGGCGACAGTGACTGACAATGAACTTTACTGGTTTGGCAACTAAGACAATGTTTAACCCAACGTCTAATGTCTGAACGCATATTGTGCCAGAGGAATCGGTCGGTAATGAGTTTTACGGTGGAACGAATACTCGGATGTGAGACCATATAAAATCATTATACAATACTTGACCAGTATACAATTAGCATTGACACAACACAAAGTTAACAAGAAAAAGGGGAAAATGGGGAGTCAGTGGACGGATTTAGAAAGTTTAGAATGTTAACGTGTTGTGTGGGAAGAGATCTTCCCGGTTGCCCAGACCGAGGGAAAGGGTTGACTTAAGGGACACCACTAAGGCTATGGCCTTAAGACCTAACCCGCAAGGTAGCAGGGCGATTAACGAAGGCCGTTGACATTCGGGTGGCTCCGCCTTCTTTGTGTTCAGTAGCAGTCCACAGAGAAGCCGGTGGCCAGCGACGTTGTTCATCTGCTCTCCGTTATGTACTCACCTATGGCTACAGAAGTGAGCAGGCAATGACCTTATAGCCGGTTACACTGGCT